CTCAAAGAAAAGTATCTACTAGAAATTAAAGAAAATGTTTCTAGAGAGCATTTATATTTTCTTCTTTAGGCTGTACAGCTCCTAAATGATTGATGGCACCACAGAGTTTTAATTCCATTCTGAGAATACACAGATTTGATATTTGCTTTAAAAATTTTTTTAAAAATATGTTTTTATTGATTTCAGAGAGGAAGGGAGAGGGCGAGGAAGAGGGAGAGAGAGAGAGAGACAGAAATATCAGTGATGAGAGAGAATCATTAATGGGCTGCCTCCTGCATGACCCTACTGGGGATGGAGCCCAAAGCCTGGCATGTGCCCTGACCTGAAATTGAACTTCAACCTCCTGGTTCATAGATCGATGCTCTAATACTGAATCACACAGGCTGGATGACGTTTGCTTTTTAACATTCCCCTTGATTTCTGTTTGGCCTTTCCTGTCAAGAAACAACTTAATTGATAGCTTTGTCTTTTTAGGTGTGTGTGTGTGTGTGTTCCGGTCAAGTTTGGTTGATCTGGCTTTTCTGAGCAATTGGAAGGGGTCAGAATAGGTCAGGAAACAACTAAACTAATAGTCAAACAAGAGCAGAATAGAAAGGTCCTGGACTCAGAGTGATATAATATTTCCTCATGTAATATTATCCTATATAATAAAAGACTAATGTGCAAATACAGTGCACTCCCACTGGGGGCACGCTGTTCAGCCAGAAGCAGGGCTCATGGCTGGCAAGTGCATCAGCAGTGCAGGAGCCTCTCCCACCTCCACTGCAGGTACACAGTAAGGAGTGAGGGGTCCTGGACTGCAAGAGATCAGGACTGTGGGAGGGATGTCTGATTTTCATGCATCATGCCTCTAGTTTATTATATTAGTAACACTGTGTTAAAGGTACAACAATGCCAAGGTTCCAACTGTATTTTAAATTCATTCCCAGTGGAGGATGCTTTTATATTGCATCTTGTAGAATTAATATGTTTACGAAGGTTGTGATGCTGTTGGTGCCTTGTCCAGATCTTATTTATCATGCTGATGCTGTGGATGATGGCTGCTAAGTCTCACCGGTGCCCTTTTTTCAGAGAATTGTTCTCAGCCTAATGGGTCCTCCTTGCATGGAATGTCACATCCCCACTGCCTCTTGGGGGCAGCCATGGCCAATGACTGAGTGATAGGAATATATTACCTTTGTCTCAAGGTGGTACTGGGATTGATAGGATCTGTGTTCCAGAGCTCCCCACAGGTGGGCCTAATCTGAAGCCAATTCCAGCTGAGATCACATCCTTGCTCCTTCCCTGGACCCTCCTGCTTCTCTGACCTCCCTTCTCCTGAGGGCACTCCCCACAACAAACCACATTCACAAGAACCTCTATCTCAGGCCCTGCTTTAGGGACTTTTACTTAAGACAAAGACATTGTTATTTCCCCCCTCATGGTTGCTATTGGGAAGATTGAAAATGAATGATTATCATAGACTATGCATTGAATGTATATAGAAACTTGAAGTTTTAGGCAGTAAAATTCAGCCATTTTGCGAAATATTTGTATAGAAAACATGAATTCATTTAATACGCTGTGTCTTATAATTGAATGCCAACTAAAAACATGTAGTTAACTTAAAAATACTTTTAATTTATTTGTAAATAAAAGAATGAAGTTCTTTGGAAAAACTTCCTTGATTTCTGGAGTAGTGCATGTTGACTTATTCAAGTCTTGCAACTTCAATAAGATGCAAGGAAACCCAAAACTCTCTTGAAATGAGTCTTTGCAGATAGTTAATTTAATGTAAAGACAGAGTGTCATAGATGGAATATGTTAAGTTGATGCACAATGAAGATGAGCCCCCACCCTCAACTCCCCTTGCCAAGGCCTAAGGAGGGCAAGAGTGAATGTGCTTGGTGGAGGGAGTATGTTCATCTAACCAAGTACAAGAAGATTCTCCTAATCCTTTTGACTCAAAGAATGGGACATGCAGCATTAGGGTAGACAGACACACCTGACTATTTCTCTGGTGTTTCCAAGAAAGCTTGGGTTGAACACCTTTGGCCTGTATAGGAGACCAGAATTTCTGGAAAGGGATAGTTTAAGGAGGATCAGAAAGGGTAGCAATGTCCTAGAGGCTTCTTAACCCAAGTGGCATGGGAGCCAGATCATTTGGGGAGGAACAGCCTCAGGTATCAAGTCCAAAGGCAAGGGCAAAGCTGAAAATAGGGTATGAGTTACGAGTGAAGAAGCTAAGGAAATGATAATCAGATGGGCAGGGACTGAGGCTGGGGTCCAGGTGTAGTTTTACTGGTCACTTTCTTGTGGCAAATATGTAGCCTTTCCAGCTTTCAGGCACAGCTTTCAGGCGAAGCCCAATGTGAGGCTTTGTAAGCCCAACTCTGTGTGTCCATTCCAACTTAGAAATCCTAGACAGCGAGAATGCCAGATCCCTTTTATTTTAAAACAAATATCCATCAGCTGGAAACTGCTAAAATGAGATTTGATTGTTCTTGGCCATCATTATATAACCCGTTGGTTCTCCTTGAAATGAAAAAGTATATGCTTTAATATATTTTCTGAAATGTCACTCTAAGAGGGTATCAGCAGGTGGTCTTTCCCTCGAATTTAGAATATAAAGATGACCTGTGGCTTGAAAAAGCAAATCTTCCAGTGATATATGTAGAGAAAGGAGACCAGATTTCAGGAACAAAGAGAAAAGGGGCAGAGCAATCATGCTCTGCTATCACAGGTGACAAAGGCAGGCATGGTAAAACATAGTTTCAGGAAGTTGAAACACGTGGTAGCCTCTACTTCACCTCTCTTCTCTTCCTCTCCTCACCTCCTTCCACTTCTCTCTCCCTGTTCCCTCTTGCCTCTGTAATCCCTTTTTTCATTTCCTAGAAGGAGCCTAATAGTTGGTTTGCTTCCTCGTCTTTGAAAAGAACAGCATGCCTTGCTGACTGTATTTTCCCCCCCTCTTTCTTTCTTAAGAAAAAAAGGCAGCTACAAGGTACTTTAATTCTGATAAGAGAAAAGTATAGTGCAATTCTCTTCAGCACAGGGTCTTTTTGTGTGTGATTTTTTTTTCAAAATAAAGTCTCTAAATTGCTGCTGTGCTTGAGGTGTACCTAGAATCCTCTTTAGGGTAATGATGGTGGCATTCCTCAGAGGTGAATTCATTTCCCTTACTCATTTTAAAAACACGTGTTCTGTTTGTCTTTTCACACTGGTCACGATGAGCTTTAAAATAGAGACTCTTCATCACCTGCTTCAGGGTTATGAATAGCACTGCCTTGAAAAGGCCTGGTGGAAATCTGTGTGGAAATTGAAAGTGATGCGTCAGAAGCTAAGGAGACACACACAAAAACTAAGTTGGAGGCCAAATTGCCTAAGTATCCTGAGCTCGGAACATGGTGAGACACCTTCCCCGCCATGCTCACAGTCAGATGCCAGTGAAATGGATGGGTGGTATGGATCCATGACTTAGCAGAATCTGCCAAACAAAATAGTTTAATGATCCAAAGGCCTTCCTCAGCACTGTAGTAGGTTGAATGATTGATCCCATTCTTCACGCATCCCTCTACCTATGTCCTTTGCCAGGTGGCTTTAAAGTCCCTGATATCAAGTCAGAGTGAGTGCACTTCTCCATCCCTTGACATGGGCGTGGCCGCCATTCTCCTGGAGCAGTGGTCAGCAAACTCATTGGGCAACAGAGCCAAATATCAACAGTACAACGATTGAAATTTCTTTTGAGAGTCAAATTTTTTAAACTTAAACTTCATCTAATGCCACTTCTTCAAAATAGACTCGCCCAGGTCCTGGTATTTTATGGAAGAGCCACACTCAAGGGGCCAAAAAGCCACATGTGGCTCGAGAGCCGCAGTTTGCCGACCATGGTCCTGGAGGAATGCCAATAGAAGGGCCAGGTCACCTCCAACCCAAAGACTTAAGAAGAGCTTTGTATGCTTCCAATTGTCCTTGCCATGAGAAGAACATGACATGGTTACCCCACTGGTCCAAGGAAAGAGTGAGAAACAAGGAATGGAGAGAAGACAAAGTAACTGAGCTAAATCTGGATCAACTAAACCCCAGATGATCTAAAGATGCCTGAGTGAGAGTAAAAGTAAACTGTGTTTATTGCAAGAGTATTTTTAAACCAGCATTACTGTGGAAATCCTTGACTGACACAGTCACTGATCCTCAATGTGGCCCGTTTGAAGGAAGTACATGAATAATAGTGATGAAAAAATGAGACTGTGAGTAGATAATGGTTTTCAGTGAGGATGCCCCTGTGTGTACAGTCACAAGAGGGACTGACATTGCTCTCATTCTGAATATTATACTCCTTAACTGGGTCTTGGTCAAAGATGAAGGGAGTTGCAGAATTCTGCCTTCCTGAGCATATTGGAAACCACAAGTTCAAGTTCAATAATGACAGCTATTGGCTTCTTTGGGAAGCAACAAACACGCCATGTTTCATTTGAGAGAATATCAGGAATTTAAGTAAAAAAACCCACAAAAACAAACAAAAAAACCTTTGAGATTATCTATGCCTGACAGAAGTTAAACCACATGCTACTTACAAGGCAAACCATTCAATGATGGGTCAAATGCATCAGTTAAAAGGTTAGATTCTTGCTCAGCCAGCATGGTTCAGTGCTTGAGTGTCAACCTATGAACCAGGAGGTCACGGTTCGATTCCCTGTCAGTGCAAATGCCCAGGTTTCGGGAGGCAGTTGATCAATGATTCTCTCTCCTCATTTATATTTCTATCTCTCTTCCCTCTCTGAAATCGTTAAAAATATCTTTAGAAAAAGTTTAGATGCTCACTGAAATTTGCCTTTTAACTTTACCCCTTATTCCCAACCCTTTCCTTTAAAGGCACATAAAATGGGCCTCTTGACTTTTCCAATGCAGTATTTTAAAACACAGCTGCACATCTTACATCTTTTCCACATCACACTCTCAGGGTGTCACCACACTTTCATGTTGACATACCGGGAGGAAGTGGCAGGGGAAGGACTTACCCACGATCATGTGGTTGCAGACATCACAGAAAGTGGGCTTCTTGAAGATGTGCTCCTGGAAGGCATGGGCCTTGCTGCTGCCTGGGTGCAGGCCCACCCTGGTGGGCGTGGACGTCAGGCTTCCTGGGGCGGGGAGGGGGCTGGAGCTGGGGCTGACCTCAGCCAGCATGTCCCCTTGCAGCTTCACGTCGCTGTTGGTTCGCTGGAAGAAGTTGTCAGCACTTTTGCTCCGTAGACTCTTGGTCTTGAAAGAAAGTGATCGTTTTAGTTTCTGGAGCTGCAATGCAATGACAGAACAGACGCTCTTATGATCGATCATGCAGACTCATGCTGGGGGGAGGCAGCTGCTCCGTGCACTGCCCTGTTCCCACCGACACCCTCAGCCCCTGGAGACTTATAAAGGTCCCTGTGTGAGTGGGCTGATGTCAGTGCCAGAGAGAACACGGCAGCCAGACTACAGAAGGAGGTTCCTTGTTGCCTTAGATTTTGCCATTGCTCCTCCTCCCTGCCTCCTTGAGTTCCCTCCAATGTGCTGTCAAATTGGATTTTGATACCACTTGCCTTTAGAATTTGAATTGTGGATTGCCTTTAGAATTTGAATTACAGTACAAACTCTTGGACTTAAAGGCTGGGTCTGTAATGCTGGGCCTCTGCTGGCCTTTCTCACAGTCACTTAGCTGCTCTTTGTCTCATTACACAGCGAAGTAGGCGAGGCCACTGTCAAACCTAGAATCAATCTGGCTTTACCATCCAGAGAACACAAACAAGTAACTCTCAGGCATACTTCAGTCTGAAGCATATGGATAAGTAACGTGTGTGTGTGTGTGTGTGTGTGTGTGTGTGTGTGTGTGTGTGTGATACAATGTGGGATTATCTATTTTATATTCTCTGCTCTTTCCCTTGCCCTTCTGCTCATTTTGGCCATTTGGTAAACTAGACTATTTCTTCTTTGCCTTTGGGACTCATGAAAAAGCTTGGAAAAGTTCTAACTTCCCAAAGTCTGTGGTTGGTCTAGTCTGAACCTCCAGTCCAATCCTCACAATTGAGCGAGAAGGATCTTTTGGAAACAGAGATGCGAGCACGTGTTTAAAATTCTTTACTAAGTTTCATTTCTTCTTAAATTTAAAGAAAAGTTCATTGTCACGGGCTCTAGTTACTGGCAAATTCTGGATCCCAAGGACAGTGAGCACCACTGTCCACCTTGCTCTGTCCAGCCCAGCCACAGTGAACTTTTAAAAGTCTCTGGTATTTACTATGCATTCTTATCACATACAATTTTCTCTCTGTCCAGATAAAAGAAATGAGCCACTTAGTGGCTACTTGACCTACATGATATAGGTCACTTTGCTTTTAGGGTAGTTCACATATGGTGGTTGATCTGGCTCTGCATCAAACCCCCAACTTTTCTCTAAGATCAGAAAGATTTGATGATTTTAGTGCTGGGCACAAAACACCATAATTCTCTACCTTTCCCCTTATCCATTCCGCTTTGCAAAGTGACTATATGGCTCCTCCCATCAAAGGGGGAGCATGTTTCCCCACTTCTTGAATCTTGTTGGCTTGGGGAACTTGACTAATGGAAAGTGGCAGAAGTGACCTGAAGCCAGTTCCAAGCCCAGACCTTGAGGTGTCTTCTATGCTGCTGCCATCCCTTTTGGAACTGTGCCAAACTGCCATATGAACAAACCTCATTCAGCCTGAAGGAAGATATGAGACACATGGTCCAGTCACTTTCCATCACTCAAAGTGAGACCCCAGAGGCAGAGCCACCTGCTTCCCTGAAAGGAATATAGGAGTCTAAACGAGAACAGAAGAACTGTCCAGCTGAGTCCCGCTCAAATTGTCAACCCATAGAACCATCAACTAAAGAGATGGCTAGTCTTTTTAAATCAAATTGGGCGTCTATTGTGTGTACTCAACACAATACTGTTCTCCTCACTTTCCTAATATGTGGTAGTATGTGGTAGGAATGTACTTTGTTGCTCATTTGAAGTTGACTGTGACCATGTGAGACCAACTTCATGTTCAAAGGAGAGCCCTGCAGGGTTCTCTAGAGAAGCCCCACTGGGCATTACCAGCCAGAAAGGCTAGCCAAAAAAACCCCCAGCAACCTCATTCATAGAAAGGTCAAAAACAGTGGGCCAGCCAAGACTTCCCTTGTCTTGTTCCCTCTGCCCTACAGTCCAAACCCACCAGAGGAGTTGGGGCTGTTGAGGAAGCAGGAGGAAGAAGGTGCTCCTGAGTTATTTTGGAGTTTGTTGCTGTACTATAACCTAGCACAGTGGTCGGCAAACTGCGGCTCTCGAGCCACATGTGGCTCTTTGGCCCCTTGAATGTGGCTCTTCCACAAAATACCATAGCCTGGGCAAGTAGTGTCACTTCTGGTCTTCTGCTGCTAATACAGGGAAGGGATGGGTGACACTTGCATGTGTGCAGTCTGGTCTCCTGTGCTCTTGTGCTTCTTTTCTCCCTTCAAACCCATCCATCACCTGCTGTTCTGTGTTCTCCAGAAGTTTAGTACGATGCCAAGAAACCTGTTGCATTATCCTTGCTCTGAGAGATGTAGCTGGAAATCGTCAGACCTTCAGAGCCTGCCTGCTTCAAAAGCTGGAGAATTTGCCTTGGAAGCCAATGTGACATTTCTTACTCAAGTGAACAGCGTAAGAGAAATGCCTACAAGTTAAACAAAGTCTGAGCAGCAAGCTCAAAGGAACCTGCTTTCTTCAATTACCCCTACAAGAGCAGAGGCCAGATGGGAACAAACAAAAAGCAGAAATAGAAGCAAACTCTGATAATAGCAGATGTCACAAAATGATTACACCACTGCCACCTCCCATCCATTCTATTTATAATAACAATGGTAAAAGAAACAGATAGTCTGGAGTCCTTTACCATGTGCTAGAAATTGCTCTAAATACCTAGAGCAATACCTTTCCTGCAATCACCCCAGGAAACCTATGACTAGAGAATCATTCATTAATTTATTAAAACAGTTCATTTAATGCTACTACTCTGAGTCAGACATAGTCCTTGGCTTTGGGGATAGAGCAGTACAATAAGTCAATTTCTTCTCCTTAAGGTTTTAATGTCTCCTTAAGGTTTAATGTCTAGAGATAGAAAATACATAAATAAATGATAAAAGATATAGAATAGTATGGGTAGGGGTAGCAGCCAGAGCCAGGCTTTAGAAAGTAACAAGTAGGGCTTCTGGGACAGGGGACATTGGAGCAGAGACATGAAGGAAGTGAAGGTATGAGCTACTTTGGAGAAGAGCATTCTGGGTAGTGGGAAAACTACCAAGGGCAAAAGCCCCTACAAGAGAGCAAGATGGTGTGTTTGAGGAATTCTAAGAGGACAACATGTCTGGAACAGAGTAACCAGGGAGAGAAAGCACAGAGAGGTCAAGGGCCATGCCAACGGCTTTGGAATTTATCCTAAGGGTGATGGCTTTGAGCAGGGAAGTGACAGGGTCTGACCCTTATTTTAAAAGGGTTACTCTGGCTACTGTGTGGAAAATAGACTAGAGGAGGACATGGTGGAAGTAGGGAGACCAGTTGGGAGACTCTTGCAATTATCCTGGTGAGAAGTAATTTTGGCTTGGCCTAATATAGTAACACATGGTTGAACTGGGGGCACAATTTGAAGGTAGAACCAATTGGATTTATTGAGGGACTGGATGTAAGTATGAGGAAAAGAGAAGAGTCAATAATGATTTCAAGAATTTGGGCTTGAGCAACTAGGTAAATGGGGGCCGCTTCCTGAAAGAGGGGGCACTGGACAAGAAGTAAGTGGTGTAGGGAGTGGGGTGGGGATCAGAGTTGAGTTTTGGGTAAGTTTGAAATGCTTACTTTGAATTCAAGTGTTGCTGCCAAGTAGGTAGTTAAATACATGATTCTGGGATTCAGAGGACAGGTCCAAGCTGCAGTAATATACTTGGGAGTCACGAGCAAATAGATGGTATTTGAAGACATGAGACTACTAGATTAGCTCACTGCATAGGGAGTGCGGACACCGAAGAGAAGTGATCTGAGGACAGAGCCCTGGATGTCAAGAAGATTAAGAACAAAGAGTTAGATGCCAAGAAGATGAAGGACAAACCAAGAAATCTGAGAAGGAGGGGCTCGTGAGAAAGGAGGACAAAAGAGAGGGATGTTTTAGAATCTAAGGGAAGAAAATGATTCAAGAAAGAGAATAACCAGCAGCTTCCAATGGAGCTTGGATGTCAAGTCATTGGAGGTGGAGGGGTTGGCCATTGCATTTGGCAAAAGGAATGTCTCTGGGAGATCTTGCTAGTAGCCTTAACAGGAACTTAACATATTTGGTGAAGTGGTGGGACGAAAATCTAACTGACCCGATTTTAAGACAGAATGGTTGGAGGGGAAGTGTGAGCCCATATGATTTATGGGCAGTTTTGCTGTAAAGGGGATCAGCAAAAAGAGGCAGTCATGGAGAGGTTTTCTGGTTTGCACTGTTTAAGTAAAGAAGATTATTTTAGCATGATTTTAAGGACTCAGGAGAGAAGTGATGACATTGAGCAGATGAGAGCTAATGAAGTGCAGTGCAGGGGAGGAAAGGTTGACTTTAAATTGAAATGAGGCAGGTTGTCCATTAGAAAAGATGCATAAGGAGATAGCTGGAGCTGGGTGGATCTTCTCTTTTGATTGTCTCTGTTTTTATCAATGACAATGGAGACAAATCTATCTCCTGAGTGAGCAGAAAGGGGAAGCAGAAGGAGGAGATGTTGGAAGTTGGAAGGGAGAGAAGATACAGAAGGGCTATTTCAGAGAGTAGAGAGCACAGATGAGAGCAATGCCCAGTAGAAGGATGGGAGGGTGGCACAGAAGGCCCATTTCAGGTTATGACCTCATTTTACAGAGTCAAATGGCTAGTAAGTTGCAGAATGAAGATCCACATATGGGTCTCTCTAACTCCAAAGCCCCTTAAGCCCAAACAGACTTTCAGGAAAAGGTTTTCCACCCTGACCTTTTTTTGGGTAAAATTCCTCTGGTTCAAGTGCTTTAGGGCCAGCTGAAATTTCAGTAACAATCCATGTGGTTGCCATGCTGAGAAGGCAATTAATTGGGGGAGAGCAGAAATCAGGCATCATTAGAGCAATGGAACACAGAATCACAGCCTGAAGGTGACTGTAGTGGCATGCCTATTGATTTACCAATCTGTTCTGCAGTGCCCCATAAAGTTAATTAACCAGCATGTGCTTGATCATTACAGTCAGGATCTGAGGTCTGCACTCTGTGGGAAAGGGGAAGGGGGAGGGGG